CATATTGTCCTGTTCTGTTAGTTTGGTGGGTCGCAGCTGCTTTCAGGTCTTATGCTGGGCTGGTTCCTTCCCTGCTGACAGGATTGTCCTCCCTAGAAAACTTGGTACAGTGGAGATCCGTCTGTCCAGCAACCAGTTTATAGGTAGGCTCCCCTCCCTGGGGCCCACTCCCTGGCTCCACTCTCCATCACCTTCCATCAGTCCATTCTTTCACATCTGACTCCCATGCTGTACAGGCTCTGTCATATTTAAGAGTTGTCCTTGACCACCATGCCTGGCTTCCTTCCTGGGGATTGGCCAAGTTCCCCTAAACATGCAATTATGGGCCTCCTGCTCTCCTCAGCCCCTCTTCCAGAAGGTGCCAGAAGTTTCTGGAAGGGTGGAGATCTCCAGAAGCCTTGCCTGAAGAGTCTCCCAGCCTGTCCTGAGCTTTCTACCTCACTCCCAGGCTGACTCATTCCAAGCTTTTAACAAGCCTCTAACTAACAAAAATCCTATCTAGCTAAGCTAGAGGGTGCTACATAGTTACATAGTTAGTCTGGCTGAAAAAAGACAAAAGTCCATCTAGTTCAACGATAAAAAAAAAACCTTATGATCCTATACCCACAGTTGATCCAGAGGAAGGCAAAAAAAAAAACAGTAAAGCCTGATCCAATTTTCTCCTGCAGGGGAAAAAATTCCATACAAGTAAAAATGTAAGTGATCCTTCATGTGTCAATTATTGTTTGTATGCCAGTCTCCAGCACTGACAGGACAAGGCTTCTGTGTCTGGTATTAGAGAAGACATTTTTACTGGCACAGCCACAAGAGGAGACACTTATTGCAGAACATATAGCATCCAGTGATAGGCTGCCCTCTATCCACTAGGGGGGTGCACTGAGGATGTGGTTTGCTAAAGACTCTGGAGAGAAGTGTGGAGAATTGTGGGAGGTGTAGTTCCTACAGACTGAACTAACTTTAGATTCTAGAGGAAATTACTTCTGCATCCCGTAGCACTGTGGTGAAGAGGAGGGGGAGTGTTGTAACTTTCCTAGGCTAAGGAGAGGAAGAATAGATGACTTTCAGAGAAACTGAGGCTGTAATTGGATTGCTACAACTGAGTGGAATAGAGACACAGTGGAAGCCATTCTGGAACATCCGAGGATGCCCTTAATGCTGGTTGAGCCTGCTGCCTAATTGAGGTGTTTGCAAAGCTCATTTTAAATCCCAGCCCTTACCCCACTGGAGCTAATGCCCTGTCTGCACCCTAAAAAAAACCCTCAAGACCAGAGCCTCTCCTCACTACTATCAAAGTTGACACTAAATCCTGCTGAGCAGAGTTTATGACATGCACCCAACCATTTGTTTTAAAGGAGAAGTACAGCCAAAGCTCTTTCCTGTGGATCACTGGAGTGCAGTTTGTTCTGCAGATGACACTCAGCTGGTCCAGGCTGGGAATGATCCATTTCAAAGTCAGGACCACACCAGAGACTGGAGCACCACCTGGCTCAGCCTCTCAGCAAGCTGCTGAGAGCCTGAGCCAGCCGCTCCCTCCCTCTCCACAGCCCAGTGCTCCAGTGAGTGCTGGGGGGGCCTGAGCAGACAGCGGTGACTGGCAGTCACCACTCTCTGCTCAAAGCATCATGGGTGATCACTGAGTTCTCACCCTTAGAGGTGGTGGGGGACAGATGCAGTATCTGACTAATACTGCATCCACCTAGGTAAGTATAACTGGGGGGAAAAAAAGTCCATACTTCTCTTTAATATACACTCACCGGCCACTTTATTAGGTACACCTGTTCAATTGCTTGGTAACCCGAATTGCTAACCAACCAATCACATGGCAGCAACTCAATGCATTTAGGCATCTAGATGTGGTGAAGATGACTTGCTGAAGTTCAAATTGAGCATCAGAATGGGGAGAAAAGGGGATTTAAGTGACTTTGAACGTGGCATGGTTGTTGGTTCCAGATGGGCTGGTCTGAGTATTTCAAAAACTGCTGATCTACTCGGATTTTCACATACAACCATCTCTAGGGTTGACAGAGAATGATCCAAAAAAGAGAAAATATCCAGTGGAGTGCAGATGTGTGGACAAAAATGCATACCTTGTTGATGTCAGAGGTCAGAGCAGAATGGGCAAACTGGTTTTTGAGATGATAGAAAGGCAACAGTAACTCATGTCAATATGGACCAAAATCTCTGAGGAATGTTTCCAACACCTTATTGAATCTCTGCCACAAAGAGATAGGGCAGTTCTGATGGCAAAAGGGGGTCCAACCTGGTAATAGCAAGGTGTACCAAGGTGAGTGTATTCATGCAACCTGTGTGCAACCTCTAATACTCAGATTTTACAGCAGTGGATAAGTTCCTTACAATATATCTTAAAGTGGTTCTAAAGGCTTAAGGTTTTTTACCTTCATGCATTGTACAAAAAACCTTCAGTGTGCAGGCCCCCCCCCCCCCCCAGCCCCCAATACTGATCTTTGTCCAGCGATGTACACAGCAGACTCGGCTTTCCTGTGCCTCAACTGCCCTCATTGGCTGAGACACCCCAATACCGATCTTTGTTCAGCGATGTTCACAGCAGACTCGGCTTTCCTGGGCCTCAACCCCCCTCATTGACTGAGACACAGCAGCGGGGGCCATTGGCTCCCGCTGCTGTCAATCACAGCCTGTGAGGAGGGAGTGGAGGGCAGGGCCGCTTTGCTGTGTTTTATGGATGCAGAGAGTGGGGCTCAGGAGTGAGCACATACCAGTGCCCCCACAGCAAGTGGACTGCTATGGGGGCACTGCTCAGGTAGAAGGACCCGAGAAGACGAGGATCTGGGCTGTTCTGTGCAAAAACCATTGCTCAGAGCAGAAAAGTATGACATGTTTGCTATTTTATTTCACAAGTGATACAGTGATATCATAATTTTGACATGCTATCAGTATTCTTCATGCTCAAACTATATATATATAATATATTAATATATATATATATATATATATATATATAGATATGTGTGTGTGTGTGTGTAGCGCTGCCCCCCATAGGAGTCACTGTAATTTAACTGTTTATTTCCAAGATTAGTGCAGAGACAGAGAGGCACACAGCAACTGTTCATTCACTTATTAATCATTCTAGGGGATGTCTTTTTATAATGTTATTGCTGAAAGAACTTGGATGGGGTGTAGGGTGATTGGGTTATTCCAGATTAACTGAATATTTTCAGGAGGATACTCCACTTTGCTAAGCCTCCCTGAACAGTCTTTGTGCAGGAGCAAGTACAGATGGCAGAACTGAATCATTCTAGAAACATAACTTCCAGTGACAATTCCACTCAAAGGGAGACAGAACACAATCACTAGGACCCTGAGCTCAGGTCAGTACTCACAATGTCACAGGATCACCAGGTGCCTCTTTCCAGTATCCACCGGACACTCTTCAGTGAGCTTAATGCTCTCAATGCTACAGGACAGCTGGATGTCTCCTTCCAACTACTGGAGACTCTTCAGTGAGCTCTCCAGAGGGGGTTCTTAGGTGAAGTCCTTTGATTAGAGTCAGAAAGGATTTTAGAAATAGGCCCACAAACTATTCCACAGCTGGGACCTCAATGAACATGCAGCAGCTCCAGTAGTCTGCCCAGAGAGGCAAAGCCCCTCAAGGTGGGAACTCCTAAAAGGACTAGGCTTAAAATCAGGTCTTTGCACCCAGGACTTAGTCCTTGGCTGCTCCAGGCCTCTTTATGCAGCCTATCATGCAGACATCTACTGGGCTCACCTCCTCAGGAATTGTCTGAAGTCCCATAAATATTTACACTATGTATTTGACCTTCCAGCCCACTATGATTCTAGAATCCTCTAGAATACAAAGGGTGAAACAAACAAACCTGCAACCCGTGAAACACAGAACAGCCCTAAGCAATCAACAAATGCTCCACTGATTATAACCCAAAAAGAACTAAATTTGCCTAACATCTTAGCAACCTAAGGAGGGGGCTACATATTTTATAGCCCTTACCTAACTACTTAGTACATGCCTATTCAGTATGCCTCGATCAATGATATTTGACAGCTATGAAAACAAGATGATAGGCAGCCTTTGTGCCACATTATGTGCTTGGTTTGTGTTAGAGCAGGTTTTGGCTTTGCTGGTGAAGTTTTACATTTTATTAAACATTTCTACAATTTGATTACATAAGTGCTTTATTATTTCAGACACTTCTTTCATCTGAGTGATGGTGACAACATCAAATGGGGTCTTTGTTTCAACAGCAGCAAGAAAATGAGTTGCCATGTTGTGCACATGCCTCTAAATCTGACATGATAATTATTATTACGTCATTCCCATTCACTTCATGGCAACAATAATATAGTTAATCAAAGTGAACACTCTACTGTTGTCCAGAGGGGCAAGACCTTATACAGGATGAGCTAATGGTTCATATTAAAAATGTATTCTTTAATTGTTGTTATCATAGCTCATGTGATTCACGGTTGTATATATGTCCCCTTCATCGGGGCTTTAAATAAATTATATTTAAAAATGTCAGAATCAAATATTTAAAGGGTATCTAAGCAAAAAACCAAAAATGTAATATCCCAAAAGGAAAAAACTTTGCTGTAACGACCTATACAGTGTGAGCTGAAGTTTAGCTTTAATTTCTTAGTCAAGTCCATTTAAATCTGCTAGTGCATCCAACACTACCCTCTCCCCAGACTGATTATGCTGCTCTCCAAAAGTGTTTCTGTCGCTACTCCATCCAGAGTGGAAACAACCTAAGACATGAAGTGTATTACTGGCAGAATCATCAAGTGAAAAAAGCTGAAAAAAAGGATATGGTAAGCTGCAATATACAGGCGTACCTCGGTTTATGAATTTAATGCTTTCTCCGGGACGTTTCGTGCAAAAAATTTGTAAACCGAAACGTGGTTTCCCATAGGAATGCATTGAAAACCAATTAATCCGTTCCGGAGATCAGAAAAAAGTTAAGAAAAAGTCTTTTATCTGTTCAAAACTCTTTATAAAGTACACTTTAACCTCCCTTGAGGTATTCCAGAGTGTAGCTCGGGGTTAACTTTCAGTACCAGAAGCGGTAACCCCGAGCTACACTCGGTATTACCCTGCAGCGTTGCTCTGGGATCCCTGTATCACTTACCTTGTCCTGCGCTCCCGCAATGTCCCCCCTGCAGCTTCCCCGGCCATGTCCTCCGGCCGATGCCGGCATCTGTCTTCCAGGTTCCGTTCCCTGCAAGCGTCAGGATGTATCGGATGCATGGGGGACAGAACTGGTGGGAAATTCAAAAATCTCCAAATTTTACAAACACATAATACACTAAAATCTGATAGTATTCCATTACTGCATCAAACCATTTCACATACATTTTGTCCCTAGTGCTTTGTCCTGTGCCCTGTCTGCATTTTTACCGTCCTTTCTGCCTGCAAACTGAGAAACGTCTATGGCGTACAAAAAGCGTCCCTTTAGGTCAAAAGTAGTTTTAGAGCAGCTAGAGAACAGCGATAGTAAATCAGAACTACTTGCAAAATTGAGTGATAATGATTCATGGTGAAATTCGTCATCAGACACTGAAAAAGATTATGCGACTAAGCTCAGTGATATGCGAACTTGGTGCTCTATTGTAAATTTCAGTGTTTTTGCTTTGATTACATTATTGAATTAAATTTATTATTATTATTATTATTATTTTTTATGAATATTTATTATATTATAATTTATAATTTTGTGTTTCAAATTTTAGCATACCCGGGATGTTTACTAGACTCTTGTTCGGACAGATTTCAGTGAGTTATTCCTAAGAATTACAGGCTTACAATAAAAAAACAACATATTTCCACTGAAAACAATGTACCGCTTTGAGCACAGAAATACTGACATAATCATACCGCTAGGGAGGTTACAGGGACATGATTAAAAATTTCCAGAATGGCTCCAAAACTCGATGCAAGAACGACTCCAACACCTCCACACTCGATGCCACGTGCTACCCACAGACTCCAGCATGCACAGGGCTATAAACCTTCGAGGCACAATTCATGCTGGGGAAACTTGCTTTGTATTGTGAAAAAAATTCGTAAATGCATTGAAAACCAATTAATTTGTTCCAGAACTCAGAAAAAAGTAAAAAAAAAGTCTTATCTGTTCAAAACTCTTTATAAAGTGCACTTTAAAGGCACGGGGCCAGCACTATAAACCTAACAGGTGCAATACATCCTGGGGAAACTTGCTTTGTATTGCGAAAAAAATTTGTAAACCGAGGCATTATTTTCAATGAATTTTCATTTGTAAACCAAAAATTACATTAACTGAGGTGTTCATAAACCGAGGTACGCCTGTATTACATTTTTGTTTGTTCTGGGTTTATGTACACTTTAAAGGTGACAAACAGTAGAATATTAAATTACATAAAAACTACAAGATGGTAGATATCATGTACCACAGTGCAATCATACATCTACTTTAAGATGTTTTAAATATGATGTTCATGCAGAAACAAAGTTAGGTTGGCTCTTACTTTTACCTGTCTTTTTCTCTTCTTCAAGCTTTTTATAACTAATAAACCCAGTAAAAAAAATATTAACATTTTTCTTGTTGCAGAATCCCCATTTGGCACAGCAGCTCATTTAAAGTGTAGGTAAAATCAAAATATCTAAGGCTGATCATACACTGTGCCTGTGGGCTGAATGTAAAAAAAATCTCACAGATTTCCCCATCCAGGCTACACAGCATGAGTGGACAAATCTACCACTGCAGCTATTGTATTCCGATTGGCATTGGCTGTCAGAATGCTCAAACAGTGGCTGCATCTGATTCGATGCAGCCGCTGTTTAGACAACAATTTTTTACCCAGCTCCTTCATTTTTTAAACAAGGGATGTCTGCAGGAAAGGAGCTGATAGGGAATATGGGAGAAGCGGATTTGATCAGGAACCGGACAAAATTGTATGGCCATCTTAAGATGGGAATTCACCTCACTTTGTAAATAATTTCTCACATTTTCTATTGTGTCTTCCAGGAAAATGATAGCAAGTTAGAACAAAGAGCAAAAGTGAAATTCTGCGTGAAACCCGTACATCTAAGTTTCGTCACCAATAATGATCCTTGACATGAAGCATGGGTCATCCACGGTTCTTGGCAGACTTTGACGTTGTGTTCCTTCTGCTCCTGGGTCAACAGCCTGGGGACGAACTTGGCAGCAACACGGCACATTTTCAAACCGCTTGTGAGGATTGCCTGGACTGTTCCGTATGACACACCGGCAATGGCAGCAATGTTGTGGATTTTTCTCTGACAATCATCATGCACAAGTTGCAAAATAGTTTTGTCATATTTGGGGGTTGAGCTCATTGAAGGTCTTCCTGATCTTTCGCCTTCTTCCAGTGATGTTCTTCTGTTCTTGAAGCGAGCGTGTCACTCAAGACACCTCAAACGACTCATTTTAGCATCGCTGTAAACTTGCTGAATCATTTCCAATGTCTCTGTTGCAAATTTGCCCAGTTTCACACATAAATTCACATTTGCTCTTTGTTCAAACTTGCTGTCCATGATGAAATAGCAAACGTGGTAACGCACGTGGTCAGAATAGCACCATCTGCACAGCTCCTGATGTACACAGGATGATGTCTTTTGGCACATTGACTTATCAAGGTAGGTGCTCCCAGTGACTGTGCATGCAGCCTAGTGCTGCCATCTGTTGGCATGTTACAAAACTAGTCCCGAACCTTTTTGATACCACCTCTTAGAAGTGAAAAGAAATCTCCATAATGGGACATAGGAAAAATAAAACTGACAGGGTTTGACCTTTTCCTACTCTATGAAAAAAGTAGAAAAAAGAAAAGTAAGAAAAAGTATGAAGTAAAGCGGAGAATGAATATTAGACAAAAGACTGTGTAGACAAAAGATAAAATGGCCAGGTAAAATATAGCATGATGCAGTAAGAAAAAGGAAAAACATAAAAGTGAAAGTTTTGATTCTACAAAGAACATTGCTTGTCTCAATCGTTCCTTTAAGTTCAGCAGGGCTTAGATATCAGCAGTACATACATGCCAACCTGATGAATCAGATCACTTTCATGCAAACAATAGTCAATTCTTAATAGCAGCTTTGGCATGAAAAGAAACAAAGCCAAGTGGTTCAGAAAATCAGCGAACAGTCCTTGCCCTCTGGTTACTGAGTCCAATAACCTCGGGTAGCACTGTGACATCTTGTGACACAAAGTACTGAGCAATCACTTCTCACTGTCTGTCTATGCTTTGTTCTTTTACCAGCACCATGACCTACATGAACCAAAAAATGGCCGAAAACTACAAATGACTTAAAGTGGATCTTCCACCAAAACGTACAAACTGACTATTAAATACTGGCCTGATCAGTTAAAAAGAAGTAGATGTACAGTGGCTGGACTGGTGGCCGATCTATACTATAATCCTCTGTTTTTTCATAAGCGGTTAGCTAGTGATGCCCCATGGAACACTCAGCTCTGTCTGCACTGCTGATGTCAAAATACCCATTTCCTGGCTGATATGCTAATCCATTAACTATAGTACTTTGAGTTACTGACACAGAAACATGGAAGAGTGACAACAGAAAAAATACCAAGTGGTCCATCAAGTCTTCCCCATTTTTTTCTTTGAACTTTTTTGTCTGAGTATAGATCTATGTTTGTCCCAAGCATGTTTAAAGTTGTACTACACCCAAAACCAAAAATCTAATATATTGCAGCGAATCGATCATTAGATGTGGTGGCTGCATTTTCTTTACCTGAAAATGCAAAATCATGTATAAATACGTGATTTTGTGCAGCCCTGCCGCCCTAAATTATTATTCCTGCTACAGAACAGCGGGCAATCGGTTAAACCAAAATATAAAATTTTATATTGATTACATATAAAAATATTACAGCTTAGCAATTCTCAAATATGATGGCCGCATTCATTTTCTTTGTTATAGGCTTTTTTCTATTTTCATCTAGTGATCCAGACAGTTTTTTCTCTCTTCCAGATGTGTCAGTTTACAGGGATGAGACAAACCATTTAACACTGGCACGGGTGCTAACAATGACCAGCTTTTATTTATTCATTTAAAACCTTTTTCCCAAAAGAAGTTTGCTGTAACTAATTAGATTGTAAGCTCTGTGAAAGAAAGCTGTGGGGACTGGGCTAGCCAAGACCTAGTGATTGACAGCCAGGGCTGTGAGAGGCGGCGCGGGTAGGGCACACGCATGGTTTGCACGCACCCCCTACCTGAAACTGCTAAGTCACATGCAGGGGCGAACTGAGAACTCATGGGGCTCCCGGGCAATAGGGGATCATGGGCCCCCTGTGTCCTCGCCCACACTCAAACCACACCCAAAAAAGCCTATAAAAGGTACCAGGGGCATCTCATGGTTCCCCCTACTGACCCCGGGCCCTCGGGCAGCACCCAAGTGCTCGAATGTTCAGTCCGCCCCTGGTCACATGTATAGATACATGATTTTGTGCACTCCTGCCGCCCTGTAGCAATATAAGTAGTTAACTTACCTGATCCTCCACTTACCCGGGGAATGGCGCTCTGGTGGTGGGCTGTCCCTTAGTACCATCAAATCCAATGTAGGGCTATGAACCCTACATTGTTCTTGAGGATCGGAGGTCCTTAGACCATTGACGCATAGGAGAGAAGATGCTGTGAGGACTGGGCTAGCAGCATGGAGGGGCAGAAGACCAGTTATGTAGATCTTCTTTTCTATGTCCCCTAGACCTAAACAAGCAATTAACCCTGGCAGTGCAGGCACAACCCCATTGCAAGAGATCATTTATAAGTTGTTTCCTGGAGATGGACTTTAAGCACTGTGAAATTCAATGCCGACAATGCAATAGTTCATGATTGAAATGCATGCAATACTTAAAGATTTATCACTGCTCATAATGTGAGGCTGTTTAGAAGGTAAAAATGATGAGTCAGATTTCACAGTGAGAGATTCGTAACCTGCAATCCAAACTGCTTTTATGACATTAGATGGATATTTTGGACAGAGGCCACCTGAAAGGAAACATGCAGAGCAAAGAGCAGGTACTGTTGAATGAGCACTAACAGACGATAAAATATGCCAGTTACAGCAATATATGAAGTGGATAATCAGCTAGATTTATGACTCTGCTAAGCATCTAAAATGGACACATAGGAAAAAACAATGCAATTTAAAAAAATCTGTTATATAAAAAAAAATGCTGTTTATGGGGCGCCTACCTCTCTAACAGACACAAAAGAAAAAGATGAACACTGCTAATTGGGACAAAAAAGTACAACTCCTGTGGTGCAATAAAAATACTGTCAATCAACATGATGTAATGGAGGGGTAGGGTATAGACAATATATTTTTCTGGGTTTC